ATAATAAAATAATATTATAATAGTAATAATTTCGAGTTGAAGTTACGATAAATTATTCAATTTTCGTACCATATCGGCATCGGGTGGTTAGCGCAGTGGTAGCGCATTGGTCTTCGAATCCAAGGGTCGTGGGTTCAAACCCCACACTGCTCGTGTGATGATAATTTTTGAAAATTTTATTGTTGAAATATCAACTGAATTTATTGCAATAATTTTTTCACTAAGCTACTTTTCAACACTATGACAAGCTTTGTGACGTAGAAAAAACACTTGGTTATCAATTTGTAATGTGAAACTGTCAATATCTGATCATACTTTTCGTGATGTTGTGGTCAAAAATTTGGGGAAAATCTTGCTGGTAAGATGTGTGCGTAAGGTCAGCGCGCTTAGATACGAGTTGTTTCTTATGGTTCATGCAATGGATCCCAGGTTATCTTTTCGCTGGATTTACACAACTATTTGCTGACAAAAGCTTCTGCAAGTCTAGACGAGGAAAAAGTCAAATTTAGTTTTAATTACCACATGCGAGTAGCTATCAAGTTTTATTATATGGCTTGAGGCAGTAGCTGAATAGTAAATCACTTCCGCCCTCGCCCACCCCTTCCGCCACCACGTGATTTTCCTCCACGTGAACCACCACCGCCACCAGTACTCACACCGTCTGCACGTGACTTCTTAAAGAGCCGATTCTGTGCGCTTGCTTCATCGTCCTGATCCCCACTTCTGACCATTCCCACATTGACAATTTCTCGCCGCTGCCGTCCCATTGCTCCACGCTCCCTTGTTTGCTCTTCCTTCATTTGCATATGTGCAAACCGAACCGCTTCGCTTACACGCTCCTGTAGCATTAGCACGCCACTCTTCTCTGTTCCCAACGGATATTCGTCCAACTTTTTTTGCAGTGAATGTTCAATACGTTGGTAGCATTCGATATCATATTGTGTGACAAATGTCACAGATTTTCCTGACCGCCCGGCACGCGCTGTTCTTCCGACACGATGTATGTAGTCTTTGCTGCTTTGGGGAACATCGTAGTTGATTACAACATCTACTCCAGGGATATCAAGCCCTTTTTAGGTACAGTTTAAAAGGGAATACAGATTTTTTTGTAAGATCATAAGAAAATAAATATACCTCTAGAAGCAACGTCAGTAGCAATCAAAATGTTACGTCCACCGCTTTTGAATTTTGTAAGCGCGCCAAGTCGTTTGGGTTGAGACATTTGCCCATGCAGGCAAACAGCCTCGAAACCTAAATTCCGTAGCATCAACGTCAATTTTTGAGTGCTATTGCAAGTTAACGTGAACACAATCGCAGTTTGGCCGGCAAGTTCATTGAGCAGATATACAAGGTAGCATTCTTTGTGCTTAAAAGGGAAGAAAATATAGTATTGCAAAAGCGTGGAGACTGTAGAATATTTTGTTGCGACAGAGACTTTGACTGGATCTGTCAAAGACGCACGCTGAAGCTTTTCGACTTTTGATGTCATTGTTGCTGAGAAGAGGAATGTATTTCGTTCACGAGGAATGACTTTCAATACTTTTTCGATTTCGGCACTGCGTCGCAAAGTGTAAAAAAGTTAAAAGAGCAAAGAATAGATATAAAATAACGGAAAAGAAAACTGAACACTGAACACAAACCCAAAATCAAGATCAAGTAATCGATCTGCTTCGTCCATGATCAAATATTTCAAAGCCTTCAAATTGAATCCTTTCGTATTTTCTAAGTGATCCACGAGCCGACCAGGAGTACACACGATAATATGTGGCTTTTTAGCTAATGCAATCGATTGAGACATCATATCCATTCCACCAACAATAACCGCACAACGTACTCCAATCGTTACACCCAATCCTTCAAATGTTTCAGAAATTTGAAATGCAAGTTCACTAATCAGGTGAGATCAAAAAAAACGAGAGACTTTATGAGCTGAGATATATATTTTATGGTATGAAAACATAAAAGCGACGTACCGTGTTGGAGCCATTACACATGCGAACAGTGGCTGTGGAGCGTTCCACAGAGCTTGTAAAACCGGTAGCGCAAAAGCGGCAGTTTTTCCCGATCCTTTTCTTTCCTACATTAATAAATATATTAACATTAGAACCAAAGAAACCTGTTTGCGCAAGACCAATAATATCGCGGCCTGATATTTATCGAGAAAAATGAGGGTGGGGGAAATCACAAGTGTTTCAGCATCACATCTACAAAGAAAAGCGAAGAGAACCGATGAGATGACAAACCTTGCAACGCAAATGGAATAGATTTCACTTGAATGTCAGACGGCTTTTTAAACCCCAATTTCTCACACGCTTCAACAAGTTGTGGGATCAGACCCTACAAGTATTTTTGAAACAATGATTTAGCATGGTTGTTTTTTTGTTTTTTTTTGTTGTTGTGCGAACCAATGATGCGAATGAAGCCGACTCGTCCTCGGGTTCTGTCAACAATCGATTGACGTGTATGGTTTCTTCTTCGCCTTTAATTGCATTGTTTTCAACGGCTGATTTTGGTTTGAGCAAGTAATGTGATGGTTTTTCAAGGTCCTCTTCTGCTTCGTCCTGGTCGCCAAAATCATCGTCATTATCGTCGACGGTTGCTACTGCCACTGTTGATTCATCCACTTTACGCTTCAGCTGTGGTTCTTTGCTTTTGCTGTTGCTTGTCATGACCTTCATTGTCAAAAAAAAAAAAAAAAAAAATTTTAAAAAAAAAAAAAAAAAAGTTTTTATTAATAAAAACCCCAAAATTAAAACCCCGCACACAATTTAATGTGGAGATTATAAAAAAA